GGTATCTTTACGATACTGAACGCTGCCGCCTGGGCCATGGATTCTTGTCCTGGTGTAACTGTTTTCCCTTAAATCATGCTCTGCACTGTGTCTGCTCCAGGCATTCCTCCGATTATGAACTAAGATATAATCATAGGTATATACGTAGGGAAATATTCTTTAGGCACTCATACTATCAACTATTATACGATTATATATAGAAGATTATATAAAGGGATTTTTCAAGCCCTATTTCTATAAACTAATATATGATTATGTGAAGGATTATATAACAGGAAATAGCTGAGTAGTAACACTATAAAGTGAGATAATCCTCAAGCCCTAACTGTGCCAGGGTTCTGCTTAGCTCTCATTCCTCAGTGCCTATATGGGGGGTTACCCACACCAAGCGGTTTATATTTTATCCTCACCATTATGAGGGGGAGGTACTGTCATCCCCATTTTATGCCGTAAATTCAGTATAATGTCACAACATTTATTATAGTTTAAGAAAGAAAGAAGAGAATCAGAATAATGTAGAATAACTGATATTATGTATTTACAGCCTAAGGGTTGTTCTTCACTAAGATTTATCCATAGAATCATATTCCATATAATGAGAACTCATGTTTTTAGAGGCAGAGATGGCTGATGCTTGCCCCATCTACCTCCTTCCTGCTAGAAGCAAGTGATTCTCCCTCCCTCTGCAGGCACAGGCCTCAGAAGTCTTCTCAGTGTAGCCTGTAAGCAGCTTCTGTCTGTACAGAATTCATAGAGCAGTGCAGGCTAGCACATGCAATGTGCTCCCATCTGACTGCCAGCTAGACCTTGTGATGTAAATAGTGGGATGTTGTTTTAAATGTTTACTCTGCAGATAAAGAGTGATGGAGGTCCAGAGAGCTGAACCTCATTCAGTGCTGTGCATGGTTCACTACTGTACCCAGGAGGGTCTTGTTCTGGCTCCTTCCTCCTCCGTCTCGAACATTCAACCGATGGCTCCTAAATTCAAGTGACGACGACAGAGCCCTCTGGCCTATGTAGGGACACTTGCTGTCTTTAGACTCCAGTTCAGGAAATTGTGCCCACATGTTTTAACAAACATTTTTTAACACTGACACAGTAGGAAGTTACTAGGGATTAAGAATTCAGGTTGTTTGCAAAGAAATTGGTTCTTGAAGCATTCTTGAAGAAAATGATGAAAATTGCCTTGGAGGGATTTGTTGAACTAATGGATGGCTTCCTACTCTTTAGGCAGCGGAGGGGTTTTTGGATGCATTTTAAGTCCACTAGAACTTTCACATTTCAAAGTGAGGTCAGAGAAATGGCTTTTTCACATCCTTGTCTCCTGTCCACACGATTAATGTTTTGGTTGACCTCTTCAGATGG